TTGGAATAGCATGTTTGGGAGCACACAGATGGAATGGCTGATTTCAAATATGGAAACAGAGAGAGGGGCCAGGTTAGCCTCCACCCCATTGTTGGAGTTAGTAAGATAAACAGATGAGAACACATTCCACAGCATGCACCAGCCACAGAAAGTGCATGACCCTTTGAGATTGGCATTTTTTCACTCAGCCTAATGCCTATGAGATCCATCCAAGTTAACCTTTGCCAAAACCTCACAGTTTATACAAAATCAACTCAAAATGAATTATAAGTTTAAATGTAAACTGTAAAACTTTTAGAAAATAAGACTTAGGATAAAGTCTTTGAGATCTAGGGCTAGACAATCCAAGTTGTTGCATGTATCAATAATGCATTGATTTTTATGGCTGAATAGTATTCCATGGTATGCATGGACTGCAGTTTTTTTGAACCTGTTTTAGGACATTTTAATTGTTTCCAGTTTGGGGCTATTACAAGTAAAGCTGCTATAAGCAATTATGTACAAGTTTTAGTGTGGACTTAATTTTTTATTTCTCTGGGTATAATGCTCAAGAGTGCAATCACTAGATCATATGGAAAATATGGATCTAGTTTTTAAAGAAACTAACAAACTATTTTTCAGAAAGGCTGTACATTCCTTGCAGGAATATATTGGAAGTCTGGTTCATCTGCATCCTGTCCGACATTTGGAATAATGACTTTTTAATTTTATCTCTTTTAATAGGTGTGCAGTAATAGCTCATCATATTCCTAATTTGCATTTCCCTAATGACTAGTGTTGAACATCATAAATATTTATATAATATAGTGAAAAACACATCATACAATTTCATAAATTTTGCTTCACTGTCAAACACAGTTTTAATAACTTAAGAAGAAAAGGAAAATCTCTGTATTTGCCAGTATTTTTACTTTTCTTGCTTTTTCTGCCTTTCTCGTGTTATAAAATTCCTTCTTTTATTATTTCATTCTGGTTTAGAGGGACTGTTTAAGCCATTCTTTTAGGGTATATCTGCTGGTAAAATATTCTCAAAACTTTACTTCCTATAAGAATGTTTTAATTTTCCCTTCAATCCTGAATGATATCTTTGCTGGTTTTAGAGTACTAGATTGACAGTTCTTTTCTTTCTCTTTTTAAGTTCATCTTTAAATTTCAGAATATTATGGGGTTCAAACATTTTGGTTACATATATTGCCTTTGCAGTTCTTTTCTTTCAACATTTGAAATGTGGTACGCCAATTTCTTCTGGCCTCCATGATTTAAAACAAGAACGCTGCTGCCATTCAAATTATTTCCCCCTATATTATTGTTCCTCTACAGTTTCTCTTTCATTGCTTTCAAGATTTTAAATCTGACTTTAGTTTTTAGATGAGTAGCTATAATCTGTCTTTGCATGAATTTCTTTAGAATTATCTGTTTAGGAATTTGCTAAGCTTTTTGGATTCGTAGGTTTGTGCCTTTTGCAAAGTTGAGGAAATTATCCGCCATTATTTCTTTGAGTATCTTTTCAGCCTCTCTTCTTTTAGGACTCTGGTGAAATGACGATTAGATCTTTTGTTATAATTCCACAGGGTCTTGATATTCTCTTCATGTTTTAAAATCTATGTTTTTGCTGTTGTTCAGACTGAGTGATTTCTATTGTTCTACTTTCAAGGTCACTGATTCTACCCTCTGTCCCCTCCTAAATGCTGTTGAGCCCATCCATTGAGTTGTTCATTTAGCTTTTTATATTTTCCCATTTTAAATTTTTCATTTGGTTCTTCTTTATATCTTCCATTTCTTTATGGAATTTTATATTTCTTTTATTGTATTTCTTCCACAGTTTCCACTTTATTCTTTATTTTCCCTACACATTTTTTTTTTTTTTTTGCCTGAGATTTTATGTTTCTTTGCTGAGACATTCCATTTTTTATCATTTATTTCACGTGTGTCCATAACTACTTTCGGGCTGTCGTAGGAGGTTTAGCTCTTCACTAGACCTTCCCTGGTACCACTCTGGCCAGAAGTGGCAGGAGTTCCTCCTTACCGCTCTCTACTGCCACTGGTAAGGGAAGGTCCAGTCTAAACAGCTGTGTGTGGAGATCCAGGCTTCCCATATGACTTCCACTGGTGTTGAGGGGGACGGGACATTATAATTACCTGGTGAGCTGAATGTCTGGGCTCCCTACCTTGCCTTCTCTCCTTACTCCCTCTCCTCAGCATGGGATAGGGGAGGATGGAGATACCTCATTACAGTCTATTGAGAGATGTCTAGGCTCCCCACTTCTGTTGGTGGGGGTGGGGGTAGGACTGCAGGTTTTCTGTGTATCTGGCTGGAGTAGTGTAGTAGAGCAAACTTCTTTCTTGCTAGGCTGCCTCCCCATCATCCCATTCCTCATCAGGTAGCTAGGGACAACAAGCACTTATTGGGACCTTTTTTTTTTTTTTTATGTCTGCACCTGTTGGCATTTCCAGATCTCAAATGTCTAGGATATATGAGAAAACCCAGAAAGTCCATCACCATATTGACTTGAAAGTCCTGAGGTCCTGATATGGCCTGCTTTCTTCTCTACATTTCATCAACATTTCAACATCTACTTACTTTTATTTTATATATAATACTGAAGGAAGCTAGGAGGAGGAAAAGGGAGAAATACTTCTCCATCTTTCCAGTAGTGGAAGTCCTTGAATATACGTTTTAATTCCCTAACTTATCAGAATACTTATGCTGCATTTGGGCAGATAAGTGATAAATATAATTAAATGATTTAGGAACTTCTTAATTTATGTATGTATAGTTATAATATATTATATACCATATAATATACTATAATATATACTATATACCATATAATACATATTTTAGCATATATTTATCTGATATATTATAAATGTATTATATATTACATATTATTTTAGTATACATCATATTTAGAAAAGGGAATTTCAATAAGAAATGGAGTTATTAAAATAGTTATTTGGTGGAAATTAAGATGAGCATATTTGGTTGTACGTTGAGAGGTTGGATGATCATTTTAGGTATAGGGAATTGTGAAGGCTTAGGTAAACATTGTCTGGTATGTTTGAATGACCACAACAAGAACAACTTGATAACTTGATTGTAGCAGGAAAGATTCAAATTCGTGAGTGAAGCCAGATACATGTGGAGGACAGGCAGGACCTTATTTTAACATGACTGACCTTATTGTGTACTCATGGACTCCTATCTACCTAATAAACCCCGAAGGACAGTCCTGTCCATCAATACTCATGTTGCACTACTAGGCAAGGGAGAATCATTGCAAGTTCCTGAATTTTGAAGTGGTGTAAATAAAAATTATGTTTTAGAGAAGTTAATGTTTTAATAGCAGTGCCAATTTGGATGGTTTTGCAGTAGGTAGTGCAGTAACCTAGGTGTGAAACAACACACCTAAGTGCATGCTCTCTTTACACACCATGTTTCACCATCTTCTTTAGTATCCACAGTAGATCAATGGAATTAAAATTTGTTGATGGCTTTTATTTCACAAGGATCTCTATGTTTTCTCATTTAGTATTTACCACAACTCTTGATGTATTATTATTGATCCATTCTATAAAATTAAGGTTTTTTTTTTTCCAAAGTACCATAGCCCAGATTTAAACTCAGGCTCTTGACATCACACTGTATTGTCACCTTAGTACCTAGTGTGGTGGCAGGTGAGTCTCAGGCTCTTGGGCTTCTTGCTGACTTGAGCTCATGTTACAGCTGGGGCAGCTCTCGCCTTCCATTACCAACTACTGTATTACTCACAATTCTGCCTATAAAATATGATAACAATTTAATGCCATGGTGCTGTGGAAACAGGGTTCATATTTCTTCCCCTTCCTCTCTGTTCAGGTAATGTCCTAACGTACCTTCAGTTTAGGCTACTGCAGGCCTGGAGAGCGCAGAAGCAGTAAGCAGTTCACATCAGTCAGGAGACAATTAAGACCCTGGCCTTTGATTCATTTCCGCAGCTAACATGTAACCATGCCGCTGATTACCCATTTTCATTGTTTATGGCGAGGCAGGTGGATGAACAGCTCTGCCTGATTTATGAAGTGCTCGCTTTCTATAAATCACCGAGTAGAAACCCAGCACGCTGCTAATCCTAATTGGTTAAGTCCTAAGTAGGGAGTGATTAGAAAGTCTTCAGGAAAGAAGATATTTTATGCAAATGAGGGATCTATGCAGCTCCTTGGGAGGAAGTGCCCCCTACTCACAATATGGAGTAAAGTTTTGTTATTGTTGTTGTTCTTCATTCCTACTATCTCCTTTCTTTCGCTGGTCAACCCCCATTGATCTTCCATTTGTTCATTATGTGGAGGGAGGGAAGGGGTCAGTGGGAAAGCACAAATGTAGTAGAAACAGAATGTTGTTCCCTCACTCCGTCATTTATTAATTTCAACCTGGATTAGTTTTCCAATAAACCATAAACCACTTAGCATGATGAAGGAGAGCTATGCAGTATGACTCATAGTGCTGTTTGTTAGGGTCGAAAATATTAGGGCTTTGAGTCCTAGTCAACAGATCCGATTGCATTCTTTCCTGGGAGTAGATGCCATAGGATTCTCAGACACTCAATGATGCCTTCTCTGATTGTTCATTTAAAGTCTACACTACTCTGAAAAATCCTAAATATGCAAGGCTGTGCACATCTTCTGATTGACAATCAGCCTTAGAAATGCAGACTCTGTTGGCAAAGGAAGAAGTAAGCCTGTGGAGTTTGTATGAATTTCTCCCCAATCCCAACATAGTGGTTGAGGACACAGGGGAGTGTGTGTGTGCAACACATTTAAAGGAGCAGTGATTCAAGATTAATGCTTCCACTCTTCTGTTCCAACCAATTGTATGTGTTCCTTTTTTCTGGCTAACTTCTGTTTTCATGTCCCCCTCCTTTTTCCTCTGTCTCTCTCTTTCTACTTGACTTCCACTCTGTACCTTCCCCTCCCTCCTTTCCTCTTCTTCCTTCTCCATGTTCTCTGGGAACCCGTAGCAGATGCAGCAGCAGCAGAAGCAGCAGCACTTCAGAACCTGAGGATGAGCCTCCCTGCATGGAGGAGATTGAATACAGTGCAGAGAGCAGCTCAGACCAGGAGGGGAGCCTCTCTGAGCTGGACCGGAAGATCCAGGAATGTGCCTGCAGTAAGGTTGAGAGAGAGGAAGAAGAAGAGGGACCCGGGCAGGAAAGAGAAGCCATCCCATAGCCCCAAGGCTACAGGGAGATTTGTGTCTCCAACCATTGGACTACCAACTGTGATGCTGCATCTTCACCATCAGACACACACAATGTAGACATCAGTGCAAAGAGCCAGCCTGTGTGAGCCCAGCAAACCCATTTCCAGATTTCATTCTACTTTTAACTTTCACTATGCCTAGAGGCTGGCTATTTCATAACTATAATATTTTATATACATAGTTAGGTGGCCTTAGGGGCCTATGCAAGCTGCCATTGTGTTTGAATGGGGCTTAGTGGGTAGTCTTGGAATAGCCATGGATCTTGTCACAACTGATCTGAGCTCTTCTCTATCCCCATGCTTGAAACTGGAGCAGACTAGAGGTAGAAAGAGTTGGGCTTTCTTCTTGGCTTCTAAGTGCTTGTTTTAATTGTTCCACATGTAAGTGTTATCTCCCCACCATAGCATTTGAGCTCCCTGGAGCAAACCATGAGCCCCACTGAAACCTGGGGATCCCAGGAGGGTCTTCAGGTCCTGAGTGCTGGAACGTGAAAGACTGCAACTGCGTACTTGCAAGTGCCATCCTTGATATTCTTTAACAGCATCTATTTTACCTATCTGTTATAGGCCAGAAGCTGTACTAGACTACAAGGAATAATACCTGGTTACTAGTCTTTACAGGTTTTAAGATCCTGTGTGTTCATTTCAGAATCAGACAAAAACGGTTCATATCCTAGGTATGGAAGTCACTTGTTATAAGAACTAAAGCAAGTAATTAATCTGCCTAAACTTCAGTTTTCTTATATATACAATGAGAATATCTATATCATAAAGTTACTGTAAGGATGAAATGAGATAATATATAAAAGTATACAGCTAGGCATTTGGTAGATAGCAATGTTGGTTTATGTCTCTCCACAATATAAACAGATTATTCCGTGTAAGTATCCCCATAGATTTTTTTAAAAAAGAAATTCTCTGGGGTCACATGGTTGGGAAATACTGTCTTACTGAAAGGGATCTGGGAAGAAGGTCACGTAGGAACACAGTCTAGGAGGTCGGAATGACTTACAACAAGTTAAAATGGAGCAAGGCCTTTAGCATGCAAAGGGAAGCAACTTAGATATTTGAATGGTGAAGTGTGCAGGGCCTGTGCAGAAAGGATGAGAAGGAGCAAAGAAGGCAGATGTAGATGGGAGATGAGATGGAGAGGTTCTGCTAGGTCAAATTTAGATTTGTTCAATTCTGATGTGTATTTAGTTAGGATTAGGCTTAGCTACAACAGATGGAGAACTCCTAAGAGTGGTAGCTTTTATGAGGTATAAGTCTGTTTCATCTTCATGTGCAGTTCCAGATAGAGAAAGACCAGCACTGGGAACATGGCTGTGTGGTGCTGCAGACTGCAGTTTTCTGGCTGTGCTGTGAGTTGCTTCTACTCTTGGTCTAGGGTGGCTGCTGAAGCATCAGCCTTTGCATCTGCATCCCAGACAGCAGCAAAAGGGACACAAAAAAGAAAAACATGTTCCCTATTTTTCAAAAAAGCTATACATAAAATTTCTGCTCAATCCAACTGTCCAAAATAATGGTTCTATCACCATAGGTAGCTGTAAGGGAGATTAGAAAATATAGTCTTTATTTGAGGTAGGCCCAGAGAAAAATTTGAAGATTTAACATTAAAGAAATAAGGAATAATGCATATTAGGGAGTCACATTATCTGCCAAAGAGACTTTTCTTGATATATTAACCACCACCTCGAGAACTTTGGAAATATTAGAATAATTTCAGAGGAAATTCACAGTAAACTCCTCTGACCAGCATTAAGCCACAGAGTAAAAATTTGCCGTAGTTTAACCCCAAGGCATAGGAGAAAGGCATGTGTGTGTTGTGATTGGAGACTTGATACCATTATTGGTAGTCTCTTCTTTTCCCAAGTCTCCTAGAAATTTCCTTCCTGTAGTTCAGAAATTGCACATCCATTACTCATATTAAGACATTCGAATTTCTGTAACATATTCAAGAAATTTGAAGGAAATGACAAAGACACTAAATTTGAATCCCAAATTCACAGCATCCCTTAACTTCTCCCATATTCAATCTTTCTTATATAGAGGATAGTATAATGCTGCTTATTTTTCTTTGCTCTGAGGAGTGAAAAAAATAATATTGTTGAAATTTAAATGCTGGGAGAGATGGGAATGATACCAATTCAATATCACCAATTAGTACTTTGGCCCAAATTATTAATAGTTTATGGGTTTAGCTTCCCATCATCTAGCACATTTCTGAAAGAATGTGAACAGAACAGATAAGTTTCTATGTCACATGTTCAGGAGAAGCCAGGAACATGGAGTATTTATTGATCCCTCTGTGTACCAAACATACATTTAGCAGCTAGTATGGGTCATACACTTTACTAAGCTCTACAAATGCAGAGAAGAAAGACCCACTCAGTGCCCTCAAGTTACTCAAAGTAACTTGAGAAAGATAAGCAATAGACATTTTAATTTACTAAATGTTATAAATAGCACATGCCATTATGGAACTATGCGGAGGATAAAACACCTAATGTAGTGGGGGTGGCAGTTGTGGTAAAAGTCTGCCAAAAGGAGATGATAATTTAGGTGATTCTTGAAGGATGTGCAGGAATTTCCAGGTAAAGGGGAGGAAAGACATGCTTAAAAGTGCAAACAGCTTGTGCAAAGGCCCTGTGACAGGATTAGAGATTGGTATAAAATGTTCAGTGTGACTGATTTAAAAGATGTGTTTTTATGTGGAGGGAAAAAAGTTTGACAAGAGATGAAGCTGGAAAGATGGACAGTCAGATTAAGAAACATTTGACATGCCTTTCTGAAGGGGTTGAACTTTATTTTGAAAGAATTTTCTGCAGAGGCATTGCCCAGGGCTGACAGCAGTATGTCTGTATCAGCACTACTACCCACTTGTTTATGGCTGATGGGTGGTGCTTTTGCCATGCTCATTGTTCAGTCATTTGAGGAGTATCCCTGCATGTGACACGTTTAAAGAGCAGAAGGTTTGCAGTGAGGTGAGAAATAATGAGTGCAGTTTGGCCCGTGTTGAATGTTGAGGGCCTATGGGGTAGCCATTAAGAGAAGACTCCTAGAAACTAGAGGTACATAGGGAAACAGAAGTAGAAGGAGAAGTGTACCTAAACCTAGTGGCATTGGAGACCCAGGTGAAAGTCCTGAGCAACTGAGCCCATGTGCCAGTCAGCTGAGAAGGAGCTAGATTTGAGGGAACAGGGGAGTAGAAGATAGAACAGACTTGCCTCCCTTCCTGCTAGGACTGGGGCTATTCTGCGTCACACCTCACCAATCTTCAGTCTGGTGTTGGGAGGATTTACATGCAGATTAACTCCAGATAGTCATAAGAACTGTTCTGCCAGCCCAGCCAGAACTTGCTGACCAAATTCACTACTGTAGTAAATTGTTCTGAAAAACGTGTTCTCCCAAACTTATAGCCAGATGAGATTACCCAAGAATTCCAAGGAGTTGTAGGCCCTCGTGGGAAGCAGTTGTGGTCCAAAGTGTGCAGAGGAAATGAGAGTCCAGACAGGTGATGCTGGGGCCAGGCCATATATGTGCTGTCCTGTACCAGCTGTTGTCTAGTTCCCTGCCTGATGGGGCTAGGACTGGGGCTGAGGATCACATGTGGCCTGCAGTTCCCTGGGCCAGCCTGGTGTACTTTCTGTAATGGACAAAGGTAAGGAGCTCTCTGTTTCCACCTTTAAGATAGTCCCATTGTTGGTAAAGAAGAACGACTTGCCACCCATGAGCCCCTAAGAGTGGAAACCACTGGCTCTTCATGACTTCTTCCTGTGGCAAGAAGTTCTTTGGCTCCACATTTTCTACAGAAGAAAGTCTAAATTTCTCAACAGATCTATACAGTCTGGCCCCAATGTCCTCTACAGACTCAGGATCTGCCACTCTCCAGTCTCTTCACCACGGGACATACCCTCATCTTATCTCATCACATTTATGCATTTGTGTGTGTCCACATGCACATGCACACACACATACACCACTTCTTGAGCCACACAGCTCCATAGGTGTACTCTTTGATTTTTTCTAACCTTTTCACATTTTTCCTCTGCCTGTGATAAGGATCTCCCAATAACTCATTTGGGGATATCAAGTATCAGTTCAAATATCACCTTTCTTCTGTAAAACTTGCCGTAATCACCCAATGCTAAGTTATATAATCTCTTTTGTATGACCCAATTGCACTGTTTACACATCTCTCTTACAGCATGAGTAGCATTTTCAACTTGATATATATGCTTTTTATATCCCCCTCCACTTACCATTGACTAGTAAGTTCTAGAATTCACAGACATGCTCTTATCTTGGCATCTCCCCTGCACCTAGCATACTTCTTGACACATTGAAGGTATTCAGAAATGAGTCTTCTCTCAGATTCAAACCTAGACATCCACTGTTGCTATAAAGTCTCATATATTTTCCTTAAATGCTTCCACTTCCATCTCAAATGAGAGTTTGTATGATAGAAAGGGAACTGGTCTCACTAAAAGGGTATTTAGTGTGAGTACAGCCCAGCCTCTGAAGCTGGTGGTTGCCATGGAAGACTGTTCTGAGTGCGAGGCGAGCTTAACAAGGAGCAAGGTGGCCTTGTCCTGGCCTGTGTTGTGAAAATGTTTAGATAGAGTAGGGAGAATGGAGAACAACAGCTCTGAGGGTCCCCAGTGGCCACAACATTCATCCAGGTGTGCTGGCTCACATGTTTAGTTTGGTGAGAATTGGACATGCAGCTCCGTGTATATTGTGCCAACTTGGCTGCCTGGGCGCTTCTTGCAATCCCATCAGTGAGAATTGGCGTCCAAGAATTCCATCCATTGGCTCAAATTTCTTCTGGGCCTTCAGAAAAAGGATTCATAGCCACAAAGAACATTTGACAATAACCTGCTCCCTGAGTTACAAGCTCTCATTGAGAGCTGCCAACACAAGGAAGGTCACATCACACTCCTAAGGGAAAGAGATGTGTTCTCACGCACAGCTTCCATTTATCAGCCCAGAAAACTGAGCTGTAGAGTTGATTTCATATTCCAAGGGAAGCCTCTGCCCTCTGCCAAGAGAAGGGGCTTCCATGAAATTCCTGACATAAGTCATCCTTGTTAGGGACTCTGAAGAGTGACCTACATGGTGGATCTGAGCATTTGGATCTGCATTAGAATAATGGATTTGGTTTTACCCTGCTGGTGCTGCTCACTCTAGATCCCCAAAGGCTCCAGTCTTGGAAAGACACACATAGTAACCTGGTACTCACCAGGAGAGCTTTTTTGGCCCAAAATAACTCATCAGTTCTGGAGCCTGCTGCTGCCTTTCCAACAGATGTCATCTTTTGTTTGTGTTGCGGTTTGGCTTCATGCAACCTATTCTTGATAAAAAATGTTCTTTAGAAAAAAGAGAGTGGTAAAAGGGAATTTTGAGATAAAAATGGATTCTATTACAGCCTTTCAGGTCCTAATAATAAAAAAGGATACAATTGTATATAACTTAAAATCATTTATTACACGCATTCCAACACAATGGAGCTGAAATTGAACTTGAGTTCCCTACTCACACACACACACACAAACACAAAGAAGACGCAGGGCTTCAAGCAAGAGAACAAAGAGCGAGGGAGGTTTATCATCAGACACATGCTTGTAAAGGTGAGAGGTAGCCAGGTGATGATTTTAGGCCATACGTCAAATAGAAATTGAGATGGAGGCCTTTTGGGTAGAAGGTGAGGCACATTTCTCATCAGCAGGTCACATAAACTGGCCTTCAGGTCTGTGTATATTTTGGGCCTGTTCAAGTCACAAAGGGAAATGGATTCACTCCCCTAGGAAAAAACATAAACTATGGGAAAGTGACCCAATTAACCTCATTTGGGTCTTATGACAAGTAGCCAAACAGAAGAGAGCACAGTACTGTTGAAATGACTGAGGCAAACACATTATTCTGTGTCAGGGGATTCCAGTGATCATTTAGAATCTCCAGAGCCTTATGGGGTTAAAATGATTTATTGGTAGAAATGAATATTATGACAAGCCCCTGACAAAATAATAAAAGTTAAGCAGAATTCTTTGGAGCAATTCACTTGAGGTATTTGGGTGTGGCCTTGGTCTTGGGGGCAGGGCAACACATGGCACTGAGGTCAGTTCTGCCTTAGCCATAGGACAGAGGGAGGAAGCACAGAGGCCAACAGTCCTGCCAGTCAAGCAGCCAGGATATGGAGGTTAAATGGATGGATGCTCTTGGGTAGAAAAATATCAACCAGGCCAAATCCACATGTCAGTCTGCAGAAGAAGTTATTTTAGGAGGTATTAGGGGGAGGAAAAATCTGCCTGTGTTTCTACTTTGTTCAACCTATTACACAGTCACTCATTTAACTCTCTCTCTCTCTCTCTTTTATTCCTTTCACACATATATGAACAAATACAAATAAATGATATAATGCACAAAAGAATACATTTAACTCTCACCACTACCTCTGTGGAAGAAATGGGCTTTATAAACACCATTTTCAACATGAAGCTCAGCCATACTTAAAGGGACACTTTTAGTAAATGATGGAGCTGGGATCTGTTCCTAGTGAAATCTGATTTCCCAACCCGTGCTCCCTCTGCTTCCCCAGAGTAGGAGAGCATGAATAGTATCATAACAATGGGCAGTGACAGCTAACCTGTGCTGAATAGAAGTACTTAACTCCCTACAATCATCTAAGACCATTGCATATGTCATCATATTTAAGCCTCCCAACCCAAGCCTGTGAGGTATGCCTTTTTGTTATGCTCATTTCATAGGTAAGGGCACTGGGCATAAAGAAGGAAAGGACTTGCCTAAGATTAAACAGGTAGTAAGTACCAGATCATGATTTTAGCATAGTTAGTCTGACTCTTAAACCTGAAAAGTGTCTTTCTTCAAAGACCCCTCAGGGCTTTTGAGAGGTCATGGAGCAACTGCCTGTCCCCAGGAAAGTGTGTTGTTATTGTTTTCAATACTTGACTCAAGTATAAATAACTCATACTGGACATCTCTGCATAACATCCTGCTTCACCTAAAGCTCCACAGGTTCAATGTCAGTATGTTTGTTGGCTCATGCCACCAAAATCCCTACATACAAGTTCCTAAACTTGATCATGTCAATAAGAACCTGTGTTGCCTTGTTTCTTTGTGTGCTGGATGCTGAGCCCATTACCTGGCCAAGGCAAATCTTCACTAAATCTTCACTAAATGGACGAATCTGCCAGTGTTGTCCAGTATGACCATGAGATTTAGTCTGAGGCTCTTCACTGCTCTTCTTTCTTGGGCCATTTCTCACCTGGATTTCAGCAACAATTTTCTCACTATTTTCACCTTTGGTTTTGCCTCCTCTCCAGCCCTTTCTTCCCTGGACAGTCTGAGGGTATTTGGAAGGAAAACCAGTTTCTATTTCTGCCACTTTTAACTTGTCTTTGACCTCCTATGGTCCTAATGATAGAATACAAACAGAACCTAGTACTTGTGCCCTTCCTGATCCAGCAAGTGTGTAACTTTCTGGTCTCATCTCTTTTGAAATCATAAAAAAATTACTTTCAGTAATTACTGAAAATTACTTTCAGTTTCCAGAAATCACCTTACTCTTCTGGTCCCTCTGCTTCCACAGGTGTGTCTAATTCTAATCACCATTTGCTTAGATGTGTTCTCCAGGAAGTCTTCTGTGGTCTGATGCTTAGTTCCCATAGCATCTTATAGAAAACTCCGTCATAGCTTGTGTTGCATGGCATTGCCTGTGGACTTTTCAGTACCCCTAGACTATAATTTCTTGTAGAACAAAGACGATTTTGTTCTCTGCTACTTCCTGAGGGCCCAGCATTGTGCCCAATATGCTATGGGACTTCCTTGAATATGCATTGAATGATTGAGATTTACTTTCCATTTCAAAGGTCTCCTGAGAATGACCTCCTACCGGTTGCCTCAGTAACCTATTAAACATGGATAGCTGAGCTGCAGGAAAGTAGGACACACATGTGTCCAGCCAACTCAGAGCAAGAAACATCCAGGAAAAATCTCCCTCAGCCCCTCGTTTGTGGTGCTTCCTGGTCTGTAATTTTCCAGAAGCATCTTCCATTTTTTTCCCCAAATGGCCTGTAGAGGTCAGAAAAGGGCCTTGGTTTCCAATCGCTGACCATCCTCTGCTTCCATTAGCATTCACCCTGGGTGTCCATAATTAAGCAAGGCTAGGCTCTGCACATAGGAACGGAAATGCATTGACTTTAATAAAACAGAGTGTAAAACAACTTTAGATTGACTCCAGCCTTGTTTATTCTTGCACACTTGTAATTCTGGTTCTGTATATTCCCAGTCAAAGAGACCATTGTCCTGGGAACTGAAGCGTGTCCCTTGCTTCATTGCCACTGCCGCCAGTCCGAGGAGGCAAGCCGCTCCAGCTTGCTGCTGGCTCACAGGGGAAAAAAAATGTTTAATAAAGAAAAATAATAACAAATAGAAGAACCTGTGGGCACAATGAGAGGAGTTCCTACTGATCTACTAGCTTTTAAAAATTTTTTAAATGAATGTCAGTGTATTCAGAGTCCAGAAAAAATATGAAATCATAAAAATGGACAGGCATTCTAGTAGACACCCATCTTGAAATTTAGGAAATGATACTTTTTTCCATAAATGATTTTCTAGTGTACAGGTGAAAGAGCATTACACCAGAGACTGAGAGTTCAAGGTTTAGAGTATGACTCTGTCACTTTAATGTGTGACTTGGGGGATGATCTTTCCTTTCTCTGGGTCTCAGTTTCTCCATTCAAGAGTGAGGGGCTGGAGCAGATGAAATCTAAGGTCACTTCTATGTCTAATATTCATTAACATTAACGCTGTGCTGGCCGGCCCGCTGAAAAGCCACCAGGCCCTGGGCTGGCCAGGCGGTGAAGAGGCAGCGTGAGGTGCTCACACTAGCGCTCTGTCTCTGGAGGGCCCGAGGCCAGGCCAGCACAATGATCTTTTCAGAGCAGAGAGCGATGCGTTGATGCCCTGCCAATGCCCAGCAGAATAAAAGCTTCCGAAATCAGGGCTAAAAATAAATAATAAAACAAAGTGACAACATAAACAGGAAGACTTAAGGGGGAGGGGTGAATTGAGTCAGCAAACTTGTGGGTGGGGTGGGGTAGGGAAGAATCTAATTCATTCATTTTCTTCTGCATTTATTGGCCTACTAGGTGGCTGGACTGCAGTTTGAAGTGCTCTTGGAAATATGAGTTTGATATCTCCCTGGGAGAGGATGTGGAAGACAGGGTGGAGGCGTGGCTACTCTCTCAGGCCCATTTCCTCCCTGCTGTGCAGTTGGACCGCCCACTCCTCCCTGACTCTTTGTTGGTTGTTTGCAGAGACAGTCCTTTCACAGTCCCTCTCCTGTCTCTGGCCTCTGCCTGGGCCTGGGCCAGCTGCCCTCATCGACCTTGTCTCAGCATTTGAGGCCCAGCTTCCTCTTTGCCTCTTTGCACACACTCAGGATTTCAATCAAAATGACTTTCAAATCTGCTTATTTGGGGCAGGATGTGTGCAAGAGGGTTCAGGAAAGAGAGCTCATCATTCATGCACATGTTTAATGTTCCAGCCACTGTGCACTTTCATGTAACATGCAAGGAGACAGACAGCGGTCACTTACCAGCAACTACCAAGCAAGTAAGCACGTAAAAATCATCTCTACAAACCCTGTTCAGCCCCTTCTAGGTCTCATAATTGTGTAGGGTAGAGATACAAAGCAGATGGAAGCTTCCCTTGGCAGGGCAGTTTTATGACTTTGGGGCTATGCAAATGAGAGTGAGCATTGTTGAGGTGAGGGATGAAAAGCTGCTCTGCTGTGCACAGGATGGTAACTGAGATGCCGGGGTGAGGACCGGATGTGCACAGGCAGAAAAGGAGGGAGGAGAAGAGAGGGGCAGAGGACTTCTCAGCATGGCCAGAGGCCTGAGAGTGGGAACAGAAAAGGGCCTCTTAGGAATCCCGACTCACAGACAAGTGACATCCAGGATTTAATTTTAAGTCATTTTCTGTTCTGGGGGTCTTATTTCACCTCATTCCCAGTCCCTAAAATGTTCATTAACAGCCTACACTCCCCAAATAGCTGGGTTCTCACAATATTTTAAGTAAATGGAAGATGTGATTATTCATTTTGGTTAAAAAGATGGGGAGAAACCAACAAAGAGAATTCAGCAGAAGCAGGAAATTTTCAAAATTCATTTCTGGGACATTACAAGTTCCATATTATTTGGACACTTCACAAAAATGTGGTAATGAGTATAACTAACTTATAGTGAGCTATTATGCAAGGCTGGTGGCGGGTCCCCTCCCTTCCCTAGATAAAAAAAAAAAAAGAAAAGGCTCAGGAGACCAGACCCATCAAGGACAAAACTGCCAGGCCCCACTGAGAGGAACCACACCCAGATGTCCACCCAGAAAAGAACATTTCACTCCTAGATTCCACAAATACCTCCAGCCCCTCCTATTTCTCAATGACCACCCAAGGTCACAATGAAAATTCCCAGCTCTTCCCACCAAAAGTCCCTAGCCCGCCCAAAGGGTATAAAAGGCCTCAGCCCCTTCAAACGGGGATGACTTCTGCCCCCCCCTTGGGGCCCCAGAACCTCATCCAGGAGTGTATAATAAAGCCACGTGGTTTGACCCCCACTCTTTTTCTCTCTCTGTCTTTTCTTTTCACTGCCACTGAAAAACCTTACATTTATTATTCACAAAATCCCTATGAGATAACTGACTATTATTATCCTCATTTTATAGAGGAGGAAACAAAGTCTTAGAGATACTCAGTGACATTTGCAAAGTAGGTGGCCAGCAAGGAGGCAGTTAGGGCCTTGGCAGTACTGGAAGCCTCTCCTGTTTTTTTTTTTTTTCTCTAGGTGAACCTGCCTTCCTACTTTCTTCAACAAATTAAATTAGAAATGGATCTGTAATTTTCAGCGTCTTATTTTCAAACTTAGTCAAGACCTGTTCTTTCCCCCATGTACCTATTAATCTTAATTTTGCTCAGCCTCTTTTCCATATTTCTAGATGAAATGCTCTGTGACCTTTTAAAGAAGTCTCCCAGTGGGTTGATAGTGGTAGAAGATGATGTGTATGGGAACTACGTGAAGTACACGCTAAGTTTCCGCAAGCAAACGTTCAGAGCAACATTTAAAAAGACAAACAGCATGAATTTCAAACAGAGGTTAAGTAAACATCCTAGAGAAATATGTCCACAACTAAATCAGGTCTGGATTGGGGATAAGCAATATCTCACTTAAAGTGCCTGCTGTGGGTCAGGAAATGATTTTTCCTAGATCTCTATCTGTCATGCCCATGAATATCCTGAAAAACACCACATGTTCCCTGGTGGCTCTATTTTTGTCAGAGTCCTGTTTTGCAGGCTCTTATCATGGGGACACTTGGGATTCATTGCAGCTTTACACTCAGAGATCTATAATGGACCACAACATTACCAAGTTACAAGTGATACTCAATTTGTTTTATTAGCCTAGGATCTCTGACCTCCAAATCCTAAACTGTCATTGCCCCTTGACTTCTCTTAACGTCAACTTAAAAATCAGAGCTCTAAGTCATCCAGCCACTTCAATAAGGCCACTCAGCAAGGAGTGCCGAGAGAATAGGGCTTGGTCTCCTGGCTTCTCCAGCCTTGGATGGAATGGATTTCCATGTAATTTAGCATAAGTCAATGATATTCCAGAAAGAAAGCTTACCTGAGCCATGCTTCTCTTTTTCTGAGTACTTTTATCTTTTTTCGGTTTTTTGTTTTTTGCTTTGTTTTTTGCTTTGTTTTGCTTCTTTCTCATCTGAAGTGTCTGTAAGATGGCAAGATGAGAAACACATTTAAAAAGATAAGGAAAAAAAACAGGCCCAGAAAGGTTGAATGAAGTCAACACTCAAATCTCTGGGGCTTATCATTGATTAGCTGCTCAGCTGCCCACTCCTCCCTGGTCCCCTGTTCTCTGTATCTCTCTCATACACACATACACACACACACACACACACATACACACACACACACACACACACACACACGCAGTCTAAGGAAAAACTTATGTGAATGAAGAACAAAATAGAGCTTTCAAGGCCACTAATTTGGTGCCCGTTGCAGAGAGCAGAGTTTTTGTGGTTAGACGAAGAAGATTATAAATAGAAGTAACTGAGTCAAGCTCTCTTATGGTGCTTTATAATTGGCGTTGCAATACCTCCCACAGATGACATGGGAAGGACGGTGTGGCCTCTAGCTATTGAGTGCCCTCACTGTCTGAAGTCCCAGTGGGATTGAAATGGTACAAGGAAGAAGAAACAGGTAGGGGCTGCCTCACCCAATCTGCTATAGGCCTCGGGAGTAGAAGGCAACCTCATGGTTGATGTCAATACCTGTGCCTTAGTTTCATATTGCTGCAGAACAAATGACCACAAATTTAGCGCCATGAAGCAACATCCATTTATTACTTCACAGTTCAGTAAGTCAAAAGTACAGGGAACTTCCCGGGATTCTCTGTTCAAGGGGCCTCAAAACTGAAACCAAAATGTTAGCCAGATGGGATCTTGTTTGGAGGCTCAGGGATAGATCTGCTTCCAAGCACAGTCAAGCCACCGGATGAATTTGGTTCCATGTGGTTACAGTACTGAGCTCCTCCTTTCCTGGCTGGCTGTCATTTGGGGGCTCTTCTCAGCTCCCAGAGGCTGCCCACATTCCTCAGCATGTGACATCTTAAAGCCAGTAACAGTGTGTTAGGCCCAATCTGATAATCTCTCTTTTGTCTTATAACATAGCATAACCACAGGAGTGAAATCCCATAGTAGTCACAGGTCCCACTCATGATTCAAAGGGGAGGAGATTATATAAGGGTAAAGAACATTGGGTTTATTTTATAATTCTGCTAACCACAAACAGTAATATTAGCAAATATTACATGACACCTTCCATGTGCCAGGAACAGTCTAAGCATTTTATGTACATTAACACCCCAAATATTCGCATCCACCCTATGAGGTAGGTACTATTAATACTCCCATTCTACATTTGAGGAAACCGAGGCACAGAATGGTGATGTAGAATACACAGCCAGTCTGCAATTGAGTTGTGATTTGAACCCCAGAAGTATGGCTCCAGGTTTGTGCCAGATTTCTTTATCATGATTCCGGGGATTCATCTAAAAATGTGTTTTCTTAGACATAGTGTTGTCCCTTCCTTCAATCCAAGCTGCATGTAGAAGGTGACACAGCATACATGGATCAGACTGCCTCTGA